CCGCCGGAGGGCAAAAGTGCTCCTGCCCAAGTTCCGCCTCGAGGCGGCGGCGTTCCGTCCTGAAATTCCTCTCTCTATTTTTTCTAGGTCAGAATGACTTATATACCAGAAGATGGGCACTGGAGGTGGGCCTGGGTGAGCACAACCCACTAGGGCACGCCTGGGCTCCCTGGCGGGCCCTGGTGGGTTGTACCCACTTGGTGGGGCCCCTCTAGTAATTATTTGCTCCAATAATTCTTAAATATTCCATAAAAGTTCTCCATGAAGTTTCAGCTTATTTGGAGTTGTGCAGAATAGGTAGCGTGACGTAGCTTTTCCAAGTCCAGATTTCCAGCTGTCGTGATTCTCCCTCTTTGTGTATACCCTGCATATTATGAGAGAAAAGGCTTTAGAATTACTCCAAAAAGTATTATTATGGATAAAAACATTATAAATAATAGTAAGAAAACATGATGCAAAATGGATGTATCAACTACCCCAAGCTTAGACCTCGCTTGTCCTTAAGCGAAAACCAAAATCGAAAAACATGTCCACATGCTTTGAGAGAGAGAGATGTCGATAAAAACAAAATACGGACATAGAAGCATCAAGTTGATTATTATAACATCAATAAAATTAAACATAAGACTTTTATCATAGAACTTTTATCATATACGGGAATCCAACTTCGAAGCACCACTCGGCGGTAGGCCCCAGATCCCCCTTCCTCCCGAGCTGCTCGCGCGGGCCGCTCCGGAGGCGAAATCCCTAGCCCCGTGAGCCCTCTTCCCCGTGCTTCCCTGGCCACTGCCGGCGTCGGCGGCGGTGGCGGCGCCCGACCATCGAAGGCGGCGGGCAAGGTCGCGCACCCCGACGGGCCTCCCTCGCGCGGGGGAGCGGCGTCAAGGGGGCGGCGCTGTGGGGCTTTTCCCATGAGGCGGCGCGCGGCGAGGAGTCGTATGGCGAGGCGGAACACGGTCGCGGGATCGAGGTGAAGGCGTTGGTGCTCCGCGGTCTTCTTGATGCTTGGTGGATGCAGGAGGAGCTGCGCGCCCTTAGCCATGGTGGCGATGGATCTCGGCCAGGAGTGGTTGCGCAAGCGGCGGACGGGGACTGCTGCGGTGGTTGAGGTGCGTGGTCTGCTTCCTGCGGACGCTGGCGAAGAAGCTGCCGGTGGCACCGTGCGAGTGGGCGGTGGTGGCGCGGGCTGGATCTTGGTTTCCTGGGCCCGATCCAGTGGCTCGCTGCAGGGAGCATCATGGTGGTGCGCGCGTCCCTGTCCTGGATGCGCGTCAAGGTGGCTCTTTGTTCGCGAGCCCCGGGGTCATGCCCGATGTGGGGTGGCTCGGGGGCTCGGGGACGGCGGAGCTCGAGGGCGAGGGCGACGGCTGGGCGGCTCGGGGTCGGCGACGACGGCGAGGCAGGGCGCGCTCGGGGGCGGGGCAGGGGCAACGGCGGTGACGACGAGGCGAGCAGGAGGGCAGCCTGGCGGCGATCAAAGAAACTGTATCAAAATTTTCACAAGTGTGGCTTATATAAACTGTACCAAACTTGGCATGCTCTTCATTTCTGAACAGACGTTTCAACCGTGGTATTATAGGAGCATACCACATCACCTTCGCAGGAACCCTCTTCCTGAGGGGCTCGCCGTCAACATCACCAGGGTCATCTCGTCTGATCTTATACCGCAACGCACCGCATACCGGGCATGCGTTCAGATCCTTGTATGCACCGCGGTAGAGGATGCAGTCATTAGGGCATGCATGTATCTTCTCCACCTCCAATCCTAGAGGGCATACGACCTTCTTTGCTGCGTATGTACTGTCGGGCATTTCGTTATCCTTTGGAAGCTTCTTCTTCAATATTTTCAGTAGCTTCTCAAATCCTTTGTCAGCCACAGCATTCTCTGCCTTCCACTACAGCAATTCCAGTACGGTACCGAGCTTTGTGTTGCCATCTTCGCAATTGAGGTATAACCCTTTTTTGTGATCCTCTAACATGCGATCGAACTTCAACTTCTCCTTTTGACTAATGCATTGCGTCCTTGCATCGACAA